GTCTCCATTCTACTTCTTTATTGCAACTTCCCCCCCCTGCGTTCCACTAAACTATTGTCTCCATTTTACTTCTTTATTTAAACTTTCCCCCCCTGCGTTCCACTAAACCATTGTCTCCATTTTACTTCTTTATTTAAATTTCCCCCCCCTGCGTTCCACTAAACTATTGTCTCCATTTTACTTCTTTATTTAAACTTCCCCCCCTGCGTTCCACTAAACTATTGTCTCCATTTTACTTCTTTATTTAAACTTCCCCCCTGCGTTCCACTAAACCATTGTCTCCATTCTACTTCTTTATTTAAACTTCCCCCCCTGCGTTCCACTAAACCATTGTCTCCATTTTACTTCTTTATTTAAACTTCCCCCCCCTGCGTTCCACCGAACTATTGTCTCCAAATTACTTCTTTATTTAAACTTCCCCCCCTGCGTTCCACTAAACTATTGTCTCCATTTTACTTCTTTATTTAAACTTCCCCCCCCCTGCGTTCCACTAAACTATTGTCTCCATTTTACTTCTTTATTTAAACTTCCCCCCCTGCGTTCCACTAAACCATTGTCTCCATTCTACTTCTTTATTTAAACTTCCCCCCCTTGCGTTCCACTAAACCATTGTCTCCATTCTACTTCTTTGTTTAAACTTAAACTCCGACCCCTGCGTTCCACTAAGCCATTGTCTCCATTCTACTCCTTTATTTAACCTCAACTCCCCCCCCTGCGTTCCACTAAACTATTGTCTCCATTTTACTTCTTTATTTAAACTTCCCCCCCTGGGTTCCACTAAACTATTGTCTCCATTTTACTTCTTTATTTAATCTTTACCCACCCCTGCGTTCCACTAAACTCTTGTCTCCATTTTACTTCTTTATTTAAACTTCCCCCCCTGCGTTCCACTAAACCATTGTCTCCATTTTACTTCTCTATTTAAACTTCCCCCCCTGCGTTCCACTAAACCATTGTCTCAATTCTACTTCTTTATCCACTAAACTATTGTCTCCATTTTACTTCTTTATTTAAACTTCCCCCCCTGCGTTCCACTAAACTATTGTCTCCATTTGACTTCATTATTTAAACTTCCCCCCCTGCGTTCCACTAAACTATTGTCTCCATTTTACTTCTTTATTTAAACTTCCCCCCCCTGCGTTCCACTAAACCATTGTCTCCATTCTACTTCTTTATTTAAGCTTCAACTCCCCCCCCTGCGTTCCACTAAACCATCATAAAATGGTTCTACCTTTTAGGGTTTTGGGGGGGTGGGGGGGAGTTAGGGTTCACAACTGTTGGAGAGGATGATAGTAAAACTTCTATGAAACCACCTACCAATGCAAAACCAACCATTTCATAGCGATATATGGGATATACTAGGCATCTCCTGGGGAAAAAAATCATTGTAGTATTTCAAACGAAACGATCCAATATAGCGCTTCATAGGTACACGTAACACACTGCCATGGTCCTTTGATACCCCACCTCGATCTCACGGTTACCCTCGACACCCCCAATCATCATCGGATGTGGAATTTGGGATATTAGTTCCCACCATTTTGGAGCCTATAATAAAGTGATTATCACACTCACACAGAATTCTCTTCTCCCAATCTTGATTTCAGCTTGTTGATGACATTTGATGACATGAACCATAATCTCAAGGAGCTTTACAATCTCTCAACCCGCCGTGAAAACATCAGAAGCCGTGGTAAAAGTGCTTCTGTTCCCGGACACAACACTTTCTATTTGGATTTCTCTTGAAAGAAACTCTTGTATTATTTGGATTACTCTTGTAGATAGATAGATAGATAGATAGATAGGTAGGTAGATAGATAGATAGATAGGTAGATAGATAGATAGATAGAGAGATAGAGAGATAGAGAGATAGAGGGATAGAGAGATAGAGAGATAGATAGATAAGCAGGTAAATACATACATAGATAGCTAGCTAGCTAGATAGAAAGATACATAGATAGATAACGTACATTAAAGACGTTTCCTATTCGCATGTAGTTGCGACCATGGCCGCACAGATAGCCTGCTTAAACCAACTTCCACGCATGGCTGCAGATAGAAACAGCACATATACCACAAGTTTCGATTTTCATTGTATTTTACAAGCAAAAAATGCACGTCTCCTATTCGCGTGTAGTTGCGAACTTGCCCGCGTGTACATGCGACCATCTCCCACAAGTCGTTCGCGTGTACATGCGACCTTTGTTTCGCGTGTACATGCGACCCCCCGACCGGTGCATAAACTACATCATGTCACGAGACGCTACGTCTCCTTTCCATCGACCAGATTGTTTCCAATATGTCTCCAAGTTCTTTCAAAAGATTCCGAATCTGAAAGTAAGGCTCAGCCAGCTACCCTCACAAATGGATACAAATATTGACCATCGTGGTGGTTCGTGGAAGTCTGAATGAACTCTGAAAAACCTCTCAACTTTTCTTGCTGCGACATGTGGACCATTGCGGACCCTCACTCGCCACATTCTTGCAGACATGATGTGTGCAACTTCTGTGGCAAGCATCAGAATGTAAGTGACCGAGTGGGTCGGTGTCTTGCCAACTGAACCCAGCACAAACAAGCGATGTAGACTGAAAGGAGCGTTCACTTTACCTCCAGGACCAGTTCGAATATCGAACTGACCCCCAACAAAGTCAGAAAGTACATGGAAATAAATGTAACACGATGAAGCAACAGCTAGTATCTGCTATCACTTTAGTAGGCGCTATGGACGGTATGGAGGTGGCTAGGAACTTCCATCAACGGTCTTTATGCACACGGTGGTGCCAACGTATAGTCATTGGCACCCACACCCAATGCACGAATTAACACATCGGAACTCCCAAGAGTGGATTGACATACTGTACTTGAAACACTGCACCCTCTTTTGTCAATCCTTGGGGATCAAGTAGTGTACATGGCTCACTGAGCTGTTCACATCATGACACCTTTCAGGACTGCTTCTTGCAAGCAACGGGTAGCTTGAGCTTGAACTTCTTCACTGCAACAGCAGTTCCCGCAGTCAAAGCCACAGCCACCAAACTAATCCCGCCGATCATGTAGTTGCTGGTGAGTTTCAAGTCCAATGGAGTAGGCATGAAGAAGCATAAAGCGACAAGCACAGCAACCAAAGCTGCGATGCCAACAGCAGCGAAAATGCCAACGCGGATTTTGGTCTTCTCCACCTACAGGACAACATGAGCTCGGCAATGCCAGCATCACTAGCTGCACAGGCCAAGCAGAAAAAACACATGTTGTCTTGAGGAAGCAACTTAAAGGGGCCAAGGGATCAATCAAAAGCACATACAAAAATCCTGCAAGGATAACAGCGCCCTCGGACCTGTAAACGATTGAGGACATGAGGTGACATGTGCTAGACTACTAGACGAAAGGGTCAATATGTGTCAATATGTGTCAATTCTTGAGATCTTGAAGAATCAATCGGCAAAAACACAAAAAAACGCCACCAACAACCCAAAGTGGCCCTCTCCTTGTCAGTCTTGGTCTCAGAGCTTTTCTCCACCTTGGAAACTTTCTCCGCACTCGGGCTGGGTTTCACCACCTCCTTGTCTTCCTTGGCTTTTGATGTCTTGGGGGCGGGTGATGCGGCCCGAGATTTCTTCACAGTGCCCACGTCATTCTCCATAGTGCTTTCCTTGGCCGCAATGGAAACGAACACACCAAGATACATCATGATTCATCATCATTCTACATCAATAGGGTACGCAAACCGCTACCGCCTGGAACTACAAAGGTAGTTGCCAAAAGAGGGGCCCCTTCACTGTGAGTGATGAGAGGTAGTAGCACTTGCAAACCATACGTGGTGACGGGATTCTGAAGCAAACCTACAACAAAGACGCTTTGGAGCAAACAGCACTTACTCACCAAGTCTCAAATGCGGGAGTCTCGTCAAGCGGAGCCATTCCGAAGGACTGGAACTTGCGACGGGAATGTGAGCGGAGACTTTTTGGAGCTGGGAGCCAATACTGGCACCATCATGTATCAAGACCACTGATGGATACTGATGGTGTGAGATGATGTGACGGCAATTCCAATCTGTCTGGCATTTTTTACAGCCATCTTTCTGTGCCCTTTGATGTGTGAGCTGTGATTGATCGACCCATTGAGGTAGGATTGCAGCTCAGCGCCTCTCCAAGTAGGCTTCCAATTGCAGCCACAAGAAAAACTCTTGGTAGCTTTCCATGTCCTGACGTTGTGTCAAAGCAAATGGTCGTTGCCTAGGGGCATTCAAGGAACCAACATCGCACTTGTTGCAGTGCAAGTACGACTTGTCACTTGAATTCTTGCTCTTCAAAGCTGTCAGCATCCAGTTTCTGATGCGTTTGAAAAGATATCCGGTGACCGAATGCAAGACAGCTGTCCCATTTGGCCTGCACAAAAACTGGAAGCAGGTCGCGTTGGTCCAAACTTGTCCCAATATTGATTAAGGTCTGAACATTGTGAAAGCCGGATGACTGAGCAGAAAACATGTTAAAATCATTTAAAATCCCTTGCTCCCCTTTTGGGATCCCTGAAAAAACACCATACTGGACTTTGGAAAGTGTGGTGGCATCATGGCATCCCATCGCCATCGCTGGTCACCTTGATCTCTCGACAATCTCTTTGGAAGGCTTGCAGGGCATCCGAGTCCTCATGATTCCGAAATCGATGATCAACAGCTTCAACAGCTTCAACACCTTATGCGCCTTATGCGCCTTATGTTCTTTGGGACCTTCATGGACCTTACATGACTTTCTGCCCTGGAGGTTTTCGGAATGACATTTCGCGCCAAGGTCTTGCTGAGCTCGTGGCAGGCTTCCCTTGACAAGCTTCAAGGGCTGCGATTGAATCCTGGTGGCTGGCAGATTCGGCCATTCTTCACACGTGTTGCCTCCATCCTCTGGAATTTGTGGGTATCATGACTTCAAGTTTTGCTTTTAACTTGTGATCTCCAAGATCCCTCCAACAAAAATCACCACGGTTTTCACACCTTCATCTCTGTAGACGTCTGTAGGCCTATTTTTGATCCATTTTGGTGCAGGGGTTGACCCATCCATCTTCATCCCATCTGTGCCCCGGGCCAAGCCCAGCTCACGAGACCGAAGGATGTAGTAGCTCTGGAAGACCAGCAACCTGACCCAATTCCCAACATGGAGAAATCAGTAGCTTTGGACAAATTCTTGTCAAAAAATAAGCAACAACCAGCGCACACAGACACATTTACACACATGTGCATTAATCGTGTTCTAATTCTGCATACATATTTCATATTACATTCATATAATTATGTAGAATGCTTAAACACCTGACGTCGCTGCGCAACAGGACCCATCTACAGCATGCGGATGCGGCACTCTGAGCTGCCAGGCTTCATGCCAAACTGACTTGCATCGAAGCTCGCTTGCACCTGCTCCTCCTGCAACTCCGGCGATGAATCAGACTCCGGCCACATGTCCGGATGCACCTTGGCCAGCCGGTCACGCCGGCCACGCTGGCCATGCTCTGTTTAAAAAAGCAACGTTCAAACGGGGAAAGCTGGAAAGGCGAAGAATCAAGCCACAAGGTCAAGACTCAAAGCGAGTGAACACGTAGGAATATGTGGGAATAAAATAAAATGGAATAGGAACACATAGACAAAACTCCTATTGAAATTGCGTTCAACATCACCTTAGCAGTTTCCAGATGCGAAGGTCAGTGCTGGTTTTAGTGATAGAGTTCATTCAGCTGTCTCCTCCCTGCATGCGCCTAGCATCGCCTAGCGCCTAGCTATCCTCGGTTCAGTGGCCCTAAGTGCATCACCCAACGGACATTTCGACAGAAGAGCTCTGAGACCTAAGTGGAGGTGGACTCCAATCAGATCCTGATCAGCCTTCAAGAACTCCCTTTTAACTGCATTCATTTCATGACAAACATACATACATGCTTCAAATGGCTCCTGGGATCGGGCTAAACATGAACCTTGTTGCTACATGTTGCTACTACTAAAGTTGAAGTTTAGCTTTGAGAACCTCCCTGGATTCCACCGGAATGCAACTCATGTTGCGTCCCAAAGCCCTCAGCTCACAGCGATGATGGATAAGTTCTCCTTCAAAGTCAAAGGGCCTGAGCTTCTACGCATTGGAATTGCTCGGGATAAACCAAAACTAATATCCTCCAATTCCTTCAGAAAGTCAACACAGAACCCAAAAAACAGCAATGATTTTCCGGAAAAACACCTTTTCATTTCCATCCGAAAAAGGCGTATGTCGCTGGGATGCAACAACCTCAAACAACAAACTGCCACCGTGCTGTACATCTTTTGTCATTTGAGACCATCGCTATCCGCAAGTAGAAACCTGGCCCCAAGTCGCTTGATGCGATATGAAATCTCTGAGGGGCCCTCTTACATCTCTTGACCAAGATTGAAAAACCTAGCTCCATAGTACCTCACGCGCTTTGAAAGTTTCAATCCGTGAGCAATGAAAATAAACCCTGTAAATCTTTGTGCAACGAACAGTTATTTTCCACTCTCCCATTATTTCACGACTTTTAAGATTGGATTCTACTTCTAGAATTTTCATGAATTTTCCATCATTTTTTCTTCAAAAAAAAACAATTTCTACCAGCAGCCTGTCTGTGGGCCTCACTAGGAAGCGACCCAGGTCAGGCACGAAGGATTTGAGGTTCACCACCTCGTCAGGCCCCAGTTCTCTGGTGTCAATGTCCCGGGAAAACCCACGGGAATACGCATGGAAATGGGATTGATATATACAATGTATCATTTATCATTATCAAAAAACACACGCACACACACACATATCTATATATATACACATATCTATATATACGTGATTATGTATATACTTATATATACACATGAGTAGATCTGGGATATACAAGTGGATACTGTTGGATATCAATTTTGGGTATGATGTTAGGCACATTTCGAGGATAATGATCTATAATTGGATGACTTCGGAAATGGATATAACTAGGCAATTTTCTATGGAGTTTTCAGCTGGCCCTTTAAATCAGTAGAGGGTAAGTCCAGAGAAATTATCTATTCAGGTCGACGCAGTTTGCAGTGGACCTACACCCAGTTCAGCTGGAGGCTTCCAGTCAATTTCCATTGCGAGATATATGGATAGTATATGGATCGATATTGCAAGTGTCTCTCTGGTTGCAGTCACGAAGGTGAATCATCATTTCGATTTTTCCTTCACCACCCCACGGTTTTCATATGTTTTCATCGCTCACCAGCTGCCCTGGCCCCCGAACTGGCTTCTGCTGGACCATCTCCAGAAATTCCTCCACGCTTTTCCTCGCTTGAGAGCGCAGTGCTTCATGTTCTTCGGCCAAGCCTAGGCAAGGCCGAAGGATCCGAAGGTGAGGGTCACCCTCAGCCACCCGACTGCTATCATTGCTGACGGCAACGCCTGCTTTTGCAATGCTGCAAAAGTGTGGAATCCTTTTATGCAGGCAATTGCTTACAAAAAAGTGGCTCACAGGACCAAGACAGGCTTGCAAGGCTGATTGCGTCGATCCATCCAAACCTGTTCAAATAGTGTTTGTCCTTAGACATCTTTCCCAAGGACCTGAAACTTTGAGCTGCTGGCACAATAGCAGGAAGTGCAAAGTCACCTCGATCAAGCGATTCACACAAAAAGGAAACCCTGCAAATCGCATGCTCAACTTGCTTGTGGCCTCCAAACTTGAGGCCCTGGCGAAGCACATCATGACCCGTTCAGACTCGTACTCGTTGTTCTTGACCTCAAACGCCATCATATGTGATGACACATGGTGTGGCAAAGCAAGAGCCTTCTGATGCATTTGGACTTACACTAGCGTTCTGAGGACACTTTCGATAATGGTACCCTTAGTTGTGGTGAAACAAATCCGTGCTGATATCACTGGGTGACCCCACGATACTGATGCAGGTTGTCTTCCAAATCTCCCCCAGGATATTCAAAATGGCTTCCAAACCTGCAGTTCGCACCACTGAAACTAATATCATTTTTGGTCTGCAAGGAATGAACTGAACCAAATGGTTCTACAGTTCTACATGTATGCAATGTAATATGTGAATAGATGTGTGTTGTGATTTGATGTGATAGGTTTAATTTGATGTGATAGTAGGTTTAATTACTCTGAATATATGTTAAACCATGTAATATGTGATTTATAGGTTTAATGGTTGCTACGGAGTTTGGGATGTTCATTTACCAATTTTAAGGACACTGGGCCACCGTGGGCGAAGCCCACCTTGGGGCCCCACCAGCTGCATCTGCACCTGAAGAGCACAGTATATGATGAAATCATACCCTCTGGTAATGACTAATGGGTAGTGATTTTCCCATTAAAAATGGTGATTAACTATGGAAAATCACCATTTTTAATGGGAAAATCCACTATAAATCATAGAATTACTGTTTACAGGAGTCCAAATCAGGATGGATTCCAACCAAAATTCTCACTCCTCTCGAGGCAAACTTGAATCTTCAAGCTTCCCTTGAAATCGAAGGCTTCACCCTCGTTTCACCGTCCCAATCCATTTCAGCCTTCGCAGCTAGGCAACTTCAACTGGTAGAAACCTGCCACGACTGATCCACTGCCCTCTGGGCAAACAAGGCACCTACTTTGTGGTACCTACTTGTGATCATGCCTGCTTTGGGTACAAACAGTTTCTCACTTGGCACCCAAGCCATTGATCCTTTGGGTTTGAATTTATTCTGGCTTTCAGAAACGGCTTCCAAACACAGACTGAACCCTTCCTCACAACGTTTTCCTTCACGTTTGTTGCAGGACCATCCGATTTCTTAGGCCACGTTCTTATCTTCCTGGCGTTTGCCCATATCGTCGTTGACTTTGTTGGTCCTCAACCATCCTTCTGGATACTATCCCCATCCTCTGGGGTACATTATGCCCAAAATTTTAGTGGCTATCCCAGTCCCCTGCGCCAATAATTCTCACCATTCTCACCCACTATTCCTGGTCGTATCCTCATTATCTTGGTGCAATACCATCAGTTTCGCTTTGAAACATCCAGCCATCCACCATACATTCCTGCCAAGCAGTCGCATCTACTTCTTACATCCCGATTACTCTTGGGTAAATCTCCAGTTAAAGCCTCATCCCTAGATTCTCTAAAAATCTCTAAATTACTATGTCTTTCAATCATCTTGGGTGCCTAGATACAGGTCGCATCAGCTTTCCACGATCCTACGATCCAAGTGGCCTGCCGCATCCGCCAGCTGTTGAAGCCCTTTGGATGCCAAGGTGGAGCCGCAAGTGCACCATGCCTGGACGTGGCTCATTCGGAGGACAGGAAATCCATAGGACATCTATAGGATTTCCCATGATTTCCCAATGTTTTTGGATACAGTTGAACATCATCTAACATAGGGACTTCTGGATCAATATTGGATTTGATCAACGATAAACCTCATCAAAAGCCAACTAAATTTACAATATTTCACAGTACAGTATAATGCTGCGTTTATCCGGTCAAAGTGGCGGAACAGCAAAAACAACATGCAACTCATAGAACGTGAAGTTTTCAGCAACAGGTATATGATTTGATGACCTTGGGGTTAGATTGGTATTCACATTGGGTGTGTCAAAAAATGTGCAAGAAATTGGGGAACAAGGGACAACCCAAGACTTGCCGCACAACTGTTCAAATTTCAGCACAACTACAAAGAACTAGTAATGTGCTGGGATGAAGTACTCTTTGCAGATCCTGAAGCATTAGAATCAAGTAATGTTGCAAGAAGGCAACATTGACGATTTAATCTGCCAGAATTACAACTGCTTTCAGAGCTTCTATATAGATTCTAGATCTTCTATGGGTTCAAAATTGCCTGGACGCCTGAAGTCTTGGTCCGAACCGGAAAGCATGGTACTGGTGGTTGCACTTCTAGGGATGACTGATCCCCCAATGATCCTTGTGGTGATACTGTTACTCAACGGCTAACATGATACTTTTTTTGCTTGCGATTTCTTAACGTCAGATCCATCCTATCAATTGGCTGTCGCTCACGGCAGAGGAGTCTGGTAATTCGGCAGCGACTTGTCCCTGTGGAAGAAGATACCTTGGAATCGATTGCAAGAGCTGTCAACCACCATACCATCCCACAAACATCCACAAACGCATTGCCCTCACTCCTATCCATGCAACATAGGCGGCATCAAGAATCCCACGAACATCCACGAACTATAGAGCACAGCCCGGTGCAGCCCAAATACGGGACATGGTTCTCAAGGAACTGACCAACATGGTGCCAAAGATGACAAGGAAGATCAAACCAAGTGCTAAAACCACAGAGAGAAGTAAGTATTTGTCCTGCAACATTTCAAGAACAAAAGCTTCCCTATCCTTAAAGGTCAAGGTGCACTTGCCATCACTTGCCGAGATTGCAGACTTCTGAAACAAACTCAATTCTCTATTGGTGCGCCCTTTTTGTCAAACTGCTCAACTCTCAAGGAAACCATGGCCTCTGGGACTGTACTAAATTTGGGAGCAATAGATGCTCATATAGCTTTGGACCTGGCTGACGCTCACAAAACTCAAAACAAATCCGGCCTGAGCATGCAACCAGTCCTTGACAAAGAGGGGGGTAAAACCCTGCGTCGCGTCTTGAAGGCTTCGCAGTTGAACTGCTGCACTCAGAATCCTCAACTTGCAGCTGCCAGGAAGGGCAGAATGAAAGTGCCAAGGAAATCCAACATGTAACACGTATATATATATAGTAGCAACATTATTATATAACATTGATAGCAATGTGCAACACCGTGTAATTTCAAACTGGAACATAATCTACCATTTCGTTTAGATTCTATTCAATGCAGGTTTTTACGGCTCAGTCATCAGTAAACCACCTAATCACACACACAGGACCTGGACATTAGTCTGGGAATTTGTACCTAAAGGCAGGGTTGACGTAGAGATGCGCCATTCGTGGTGCTGTTCTTCCGGTCCCATGAGCATCCAAAGGTGTCTTGAGCCAAGTTTCCATCTGAAGTCCTTCTTCAGAAGGTCGCTGGACAAGTAGTAGCCGCCCCTCTCGAAGCGAATGGTATACCTGGGCTGCAATTGCGTATTTCCAGATCAACATTATGAACTTGTTGGCCCACCTCAACAATTGTTGTCCCTAGGAGCCCACGGGAGTCGTCCGACATTTTCACGACCGCTTCGCTTGAATCTGCCGCTTTCAACAAAGGAAACATCCGATCAAGAAAAGTCCAGAATCTACATTTCAAGTTTCAAGACAAAACATGACAAAAGCATTAACTGCATGTAGGTCTCGCACATATCTGCCCACATGCACACACACACACATCCATATATGCCTGATTCTTCACACACACACAACACACGCCCACACACACATATATATATACACATACATCTGTCCATAGCTTAACAATACTCAACATGTAGGTATCAGATTTTTCTGTGTTTCAAAACATTTCAGCAACCCTGGTGCCATTTGTTTCATACGACCCATCCCCATGCCCTCATGGCTGGCGACGGCAGCATGTTGCCCAAAGTGCCTCTCCTTGGCAGCTGCGGCATGGGAATGTCGGATCCCAAGGCCGGTGCTTCGGCCGTGGCCAACAAATGCTGGTTGATGTCCACCTGGGACGGGCGCCGAAGGAAAGGAACATGAGAAGCTTCGGAGAAATGCTTGGCAAATGTTGGTAATTACATGTTTCAACTGAGAACAATGGTTGATAAGTATGATTAGCTTTTGAAAGAAGCCTGGAATCCCAGATTAAACAATGTAATTAGATGGCAAATAAGATGGCACCCCATGATAGACGCACGTACTTCTATCAATAAGAACCACTCATACTATCTCATACTGGCTTGTCTGAAAATAGACTACTTTTAGCAACATCCATCAAAATCCCATGGTTTATCATCATTTTCTCATCCTTTTCTCCAAAAAATGAAGACGCACTGGCAGCGGCAAGGCTTGGCTTCCGCACGAACTGCAGACGCGGGATCAGGGCATCGGGAATGGCCTCGGTGGCTTTCTGGCCCTTGTTGTTATAGATCTTGCAGCGCCCTGGCCGCATTCCATCCGTTTCCTCCAAGGCCACCACTGCTACCTGGGCTGGGAACTGGATGGGAACTGGCAAAAATGGGGAAAAATGCTTGAGATGAAACGGATAGATACTAAAGGTAACCTAAGGTACTACAAAATTCATCAAAATTCAAAGGTAACCTTGCCTAACAGGATCTTTGGACAATCGAAACGGGTCAGAATCCTATAAAGACTCTGCAAACGCACAAATTTAGGAGCTATGGTGCGCTTGATCGGCAAATGTGATCCTACACGGCCTATACGCCAGATTTAATCATCCGTTATCACTACAGCATTAATTGCATCCATGCATATCATGTACGTCATATCAATTATTTCATGATCCATATTGATCCACTACATTGTATCACTTATGTCATTTAACACATGACACATGAGCCACACAAAAATCGCATAAAATCGCCCCATCCATTCACATCCAGCAACGCCACCAGGGCACCAGTTTCTTCTTGCAATCCATGATGGCCCAGTACTGCCAGCTGGGTGCCGGAATGGCCCCGTCCTTCAGCTGCGGAGATGCCGTATAGGTCACCGGAAAACTGCCAGGCGCTTTGCCCATGGAGTAGTTCCTGGGTGAAGCCATGGGGCGAAGCATGGGGAAACAGGGACCCCAAATGGTTCCATTGCGTTCCCAAGGATATGTTGATAGGTTTTGGAGGATTGCTTTGGGATGTGGATTTCTCCTGCCCTGCATTTTCAGTGATCTCATGCCGTTGTTCGCTGTTCGCAGCAAATCCGTTGTGTTGGCCAATAACAAGGAAAACCTGAACCAACCGTGTGCCGTTTTGTGCATATGAACATGGTCATATCTTTGGATCATATCTTTGGAACAATATAAAGTTCACCCCCCTTTTTGGAGGGAAAAAACAAGAACAAACAGTTGAATGGATCCGTCAAATGAAGAGGCAACCTCCAAACGGGAATCATGTGATACACAGGGCACATAAGCTCATATCTATTGGTATCTATGTATATACATATGCATACATATGCCATATATATATATATATCAATGCGATAAATAGGTTTGAAATTATCTCAATAAATCTGAATAATCCTATTATTGCACTGCTGCCTTGAGCAACCCCCAAGCCATGGCCCAGCACTGGTTCGGTCTGGCGTCATGCCATCGTATTTCATGGCCACACCTGGGGCCAAGAGATCTTCCACAAAGGTCCAATGCTCCATCCCGAAGGCTGTGTCCTCGGGCACGAAGTTGTGCTGCTCCTTCAGCTCATCGATCCTCAAAAACTGCGACACGTTCATCTTACATCATCTTACTGCAAATGCAGGTGCAAAGGCAACTCCTGACCCTTTTATACCCTTTTGACTCCTTTTGACCTTTGACAGGGGTGAAACCGGGATGTGGTTGTGGCATGTTTTGGCCATCCGAACAAACAAGGTGGCAGGTGTGAAACGTTCCTGTGTCCCCCTGGACTTGTACTATGTAATCAAATAACATGGCAATGGCCCGCATATTAAACTTGGTGAAAACATGAACGTTGATGATTCTCCTTTTGAATTGGGATGCACATGGCTATACAGGGCTATACAGGTTGTTTACTGAACCGCTCTACTAAAGGGATGTAGAGGGTACTCCCTTATTTTGATGTGGGGGTATCGCATAATGGGTACCTAAAATCATACAAAAACTGCGAATTCAATCCCTAATTCTGGGAAACACCGAATGTTTGATGATTAACTTTCCCATTGCTATCTCCCATTGTCAAAAAATCCCTATCCAGAAACATCAGAAACATCCGCAGCGTCCAAGGCTCTCTACTGGCTTTGCGATGGCCGACAGGTTCCCCTCGGAGGTGATGTGCATGGTGCGCCACTCGGTGGACATAAAATTCAGCCGCCAGGCGGCCGTAGAAGGCGCATCTGCGGCATCCGTCAGCTGCCAAGAACCCCATTCGCCACCCAGGGCCGAAGCCTCCAGGGGAGTCAAATACCTCAGGATATTGGACAGTTGATGGATGTTGATGGCTTTTAAAGGCCTCAGGTCATAAGGAACTGGATAGGAACTGGATGAGACTTAGTGCTTGAGCCATCCTTTTTTGGATTTGTCAAGGCCAGTCATTTGGTAACCTGGCAAGTGGAATCACCTTCCAGAAGGTCACTTATATACAAATGATTGAAAACTAGAGATGTATGTACCAAGAGATAGGAAGGGTTCGGAAGGGTTATGAAACCTCCCCGTTATCCCTTTATTCTCACAACTCACAACTCGCGCCTTTTTCCCGGGATAAAGTACCATTCCGTCCACTTTTAAAGGGTGAATCAGGGATGAGCAAACTCAGTCAAACTCCCATTTTCAGGGATCAACATCGGGTAAAATGAGCCGAATTACCTTAGTTAAAAGGGTGAAAGGATGTAAAAGGATGTAAAAGGTATGAAATACATTGAAATACCATTCCATCACATGGGTTTGTCTGAAAATAGGGTACACCAAAATCACCTAAATCCAGTGCCTAATCATCACTTTCCCTATTCAAATTGCCATTTGGGGAGTATAATATACCACCATTTTCAGACACATCCATATTCAGCAAAGATACATTTCCATCCCAGGCATCAATGGCGCATGGCACTGTGCGATCTGTGCTTCGTTCAGTTGGAACTGCGCTGGTTCCCGCCCTGAAAGAAGGTCCTTGGTCAGCTTAAACTCGGGTCGCGCAAGTGGTGTTTCCTGCCCTGACAAAAGGTCCTTGGTCAGCTTAAACTCGGGTCGCGCAAGTGGTGTCATGGCAAAGGAAATGGGCAGCGCCATGCACAGGGATACCTCAGACGACATGGAATGCTATCAGAAAATTTCAGACCTGAAAACCACAGATGTACACCATTTATCGGATATGGTATGCTCACGCCCACTTCAACAAAAAAGACTACACTACAAAGTTTGTGGAACACAGTAGCTCCAGCACAGAGCCAACAAAGAAGAGGTTTGTGGGCTTTTAGATTCATGGACGTCCCGCGGACAACTGAAAAGAAAACCTTACCTTGAAACAATCATTGGTTGACCTGCAGTTTTCTCATCCTTGCAAATGGCCACCGTCACCACAGTTCTGGTGGCCAACCGTCCGAAGGTTCAGAGTGATCTCTTTGCTTCCGTGGGGAATCCGGAGCTCAACTTTTTGTTCACCTCACGAAAGGGCGGGAACACCTGGGGGTACCTCACATACACCGTTGAGCTGCTGAGCAACTGCCATGGCACTTTGTTATCATATCATCGTGCTCCGCTTTGAAGATCTCGTTTTGCATTCCTGACCCCTAGTTGCAACGAAGTGATATCATGATAATTAGCTACTGAAAAGTATTTGGAATTTCTGGGGACATGGCGCTGTCACTAAGCGTGTAGGCCTGAAGTCAGACCAAGTCACTACCAGGTGAAGGCGTGAAATGCCACCGCCTGACCCTTGAGCCGCTATGTGGCACTGGGAAAGCAAGTCTAAGATCGACCGTGACTGATGCCGATGCTTCCTGGACTCAGTTGCAGTACAAATCTTCGCTTTCAGCATATTTCAGGCAAATCTACGCAAATCTAGCATGCAATTGCACGCTACATGACTCCAACAGCTCGTGCGGACCCTTGTGGGGGATTCTACTTACAATATCTTCAAACCAGTTTCAATTCCAACATCTTCAACTATTTCCAGGCATCTGTCGTGTGGGTTGAACATGGTCAGCATGGGCGCCCTTGTCAGCCCTGGGATCAATAGCCTGCCTGCCAGCTGCAGGGGTAGGGCCTTGGAGCTGGATGTATCCCCAAACCCCTGCGGCGGCCACCCCCATGGTGAGAAACCACACTGAGTGCCCCGAACAAAATGGCCTCAAGAAACAATGCAGGCTGGAGAGGCTTACCAGAGATCCACAAAACAACAAAACAACTTTATTCCCGTGGCCCGGTGTAGCCCCCTTTTGACAGGTGTTTAGCTTCAAAAAATGATGGACCAGCTATGAATTTATCGGGATACCAGGCAGTAGAAAGATGAAAAAGTGTGCAATTTTGGGTGGGGAAAACCATTAATAATTACATATTGAATTGCCTCATACATGTGGAATCGCTGGAGATTGCTAATGCTGTTTCTATTTAGGATATCATCCTGCAGTCTTGCCATGTTCGTTTGCCAGAAGATCACTTAGTAAAACTCAACCCTTGGATTCACTATTTTCATCCACTTTCACATCCATCTTTAAGATCCGATGGCCCTATGGCGCCTTGGTAGCTACCCAGAGCTCGCGAGCACTGAAGAGATTGAGGCCGGATTTGCCGACCCGGCAGGGCAGACATGAAAAAGGAGGTTTCTTGCATCAAGTTGGTGAACAATCCAAATAGATCAAATAGAAACAAACATTGACATGACATAACCAAATAGGTTGGATGTTGGGATTTCATGTGTCAAGCAGTACAAACATCCAAACGTAGAGCCCGATGGTCGAAGAATCCACTTTCATAGTTGTCAGCTGTGTTTGAATTTCAATGTCTGCCCCGCTTATGAAGGCTGCCCACCCCTCGGGCGGCCGGATGGCAAAATCTGGCTCTGCAAAAAGGAGTCAAACAGAAAGGAGCCAAGCTGCTGAAGTTTTAATCTCGTTTGGTGGTTGCACACATCCCAAACACAATCTGGGGCGAAATTGTCACAGGTACGGATGGCTAAAGGAAATGCGAAGCCAGACTTGCCATGTACACTAAGTGGGTCAATCGATTCCTGCTGGATGGGATGTACACATACAATGTGACGTTCACAAACTGCTCATGCTCAAACTCATTTTTTTCGAGGTCCTTTACATTTCATTTGTGCATAGTTTCCACCCCATGCGAGTCCAGGAGTCAAATGATCCAAATAGGTCTTGCGCTTGAGCAGCTTAGGCCGCACGCTGACTGTCCATAAAGCACTGCACTGAATTCGCCGCAGTCTGCAGGAAACAGCCTCACCGAGCCATGAGTAATCCGTTCTCATTCCTGTAGCTCTGGCTTGGCGGTTTGATCATCAAGTCCAGTCCGGGGTTTAAGGTGAAACGTCAAATAAACTTGAGAGCAGGCGGAGGCGGACGAAAGGTAGTGTAGTGGGAGAGGAGTGGTGTCAAAATGCTGCGCCCCTAAGATGATACACCAAAAACGTTTTTTGCGCAGTCTAAGATGATTTTATCCAGAGCATGACTGCATGATACGGTGTCTTGTGCAGCGTGAAATGATGCACGAAAAGGGGTTTATTTAAAACCCCTTTTTAAGACCCCTTGCAGCAACTGTTATTGAGGCTGAAGCATACCAATTATGCTGGACTACAGGGACATCTCCCTCATGGAAAGTGTGCCTCTAATGTGGGGGCCCGTGACCGCGTCACCCGTGGGAATTGAACCCATGACCATTTTCGGGGGGGGGGGGCCCCCCCCCCTTATAATTGATATCCAATACATAACGGCGAGAATTCCATGAATTCCGTGGGCTGGCCCCCCAATACCCCCTAAGCTTGTGCTGAAGCACGGAGAACTCAGGTAGCTGACGCTACCTTTCGTGACAATGACCACACTTCAACTATCTTCAACTGTTGTTCTCTCAGCAACAACAAGACAGGATCACACAAGGCTCATCTTGACTTTCCTGCAGGCAAGCCATAGGAGGCAGCCCTGGCCACTGGCCAACGAAAGGATATCATTGAAGCTGGGCCCATGTCTTTCCCCATCTGGCAGCCTTGCCATTGATCCAAACGAACAAATCTGTCCGAAAACATCCAAAAAACATGTCGGAGCTGAAACTTCGGAGACTTCACCAGAGAAGACATGGCCATCATAGCTTTTCATATCTCACCTGCTGCTGCTTCAGCAGCAATCTCACTACATAAATGGAACAGGATTTAATCGCCCCCATTCCTCACCCCACCAGCGAAGATCTCAAAGATGCTTTCACTCTCTGGCAGGCACGGCGAATCGTAGATCTTGGCGATGCGTTGTTCACCCCGACCTTTGCGAAGCATCACTCGTGTGGTCGAGAAATGGGCCAAGATGTGGCCACCTCAGGCGATGTCATGGTGCTGTCATGGGATGACATGGAAAGATCCGCTCTCTCTCTCTCTCTCTCTCTCTGACGCATTGCCATTCAAATCATGCAGGACAAGGGATATCAAAAATCACCAGCCCTCATGATCATAAATGATCATAAATGCATATACTATATCAATCTAAATCATCCATCAGTTGTATATCAAAACCTCACAATGCCAAGGCCGTTCTCGACCCGTGGGTCCACTGAGGCTGCCACCCACCGGCTTCGGAAAACTCGGCATAAAGGCGCAGCCAGCACCGGGATCCGCCATGACTTGATTTGACAGGACGACGGCCACGTTGAACTCCTGACACGTGGAGCACTGTGGAGCATCCATATCATGGGCTCTGCTCCCTGGAAATTTGGTAGATTTTTCATACTCATAGGCTTTCGTAGACTCTCGTTTGGTTGTGAAGACATGTGACATAAAACTGCCCAGACCGAAGGGTCTGTTGATTGATTGAGATTCTCCATATGCGCAGGGCGCAGCAGGCATCAGCAGGCGTGGTGGTTGGGCATCGAACGTCTTTCCTGCAAAGGTTACCTTCCATCAGCCCTTTGAAACACGATCAATTGCACATGTGCCAGTGCCAATTCAATTCCATGTACGAGGTGTAAGTGGGATTAGATGAAGCTGCGTTCCAAACGGGCTTGCCCCAAAATCCGATTCGAAGTTGGAACCCGGATCCACCAGCCTCACTGACCTTCTGCAGTTTGTTCATCACCTTGGATGTGCTTCAGGGGCCTAGAAATTCCAAAAGATAAACGGGAAATGGGAAAATAACAGAATATTGCTTGGCTTTAGTGGACTGGGTCATAGATTGAATGGGATCTAAATGTAACTAACTAATACTAACTATATTATCTATATCTATATCTATATATATATATATAGATGACAATGTCAGAAAACCAGCTGCTCAGTCTAAAATCCATGTGACTCTTGCCAACTTTTGTTGTCGATCTGCCAGCTCACCACGGCCGGAGTAGTCCACGCGGAAGCCACCCATGATGGAATCCACGATGAGCAGCGCGAAACGATCCTCGTCGTTGACCATCAAACCTGCTGCCTCGACCAAAAGCTGTTCCAAGTGCTCCGAGGTATAGCCTTGGGTCTAGCAGCTTCAGGATATGAACACATTACAAGTCTATGAGTCTATGCAGTCAAAAATATCATGACGTCTCATGGATTTGTATGCCCAAAACTTGGATGACAAGTTTCAACAAAATCAAAGCACGGTAAATTGGCTGCCAGCTCAACAAACATATATACTGGGACCGAAAGGGCCCAACCACACTTCCGAAATTCACTGCCTTTCTCTCAGCATTTCACTTGAGGCAAACCCCAAAGTGGATGAAATTTAAATTAAATTATCATATCATCCAGAAGAACCAAGAAGGAAACCTAGAATTTCCACAACTTAAAACGCCGCTTCTAGCCCTCTATCCACCATTGAATAGGCACCACCTCCACCATTCCTTTTACATGCCGAATCTCAACCCCCTGCAAAAAAAAACAAAACAGTGATGTCTATTTTATAGCTTCCACCGTTTCCAAGCCCATTTTTCATGCTATGTTCATAGCCCTTCACCAGTCACCCCGTACCCGCAGTGGTTTCCACCAGGAAACACCGCGCACAAACGATGTTGTCCATCGCCGCCTCGGCCGCCACACCCTTGGCCTCGGCGATCTGCCGCACGCGATCCGGGCGAAAGGTGCCCTCCGTGTCGATGTAAATCACCTGAAGCGTGGCGATGGCGATGTTAGGTGCAGGGGCTGCAGGGGATAGGGGAAGGATGGGGAAGGTGAAGTGTCATGAAGTTGGATGGAGGGCTATAAATTGAGCTATTTTTATTGATATGAATTGTAAGTTGTAAAGAAACAACAAATCAACAGGCAATGATCTAAGTTAAATGTGCAAGTGCGAAGCATTTGATCATGATTGACCTTCTGTCGGGCATGGGACTTGCCAGATCTTGCCAGCATGCTAAGTAATGCTAAGTAGCTGACATAACAATCTGGGACAAGCTTATTATAGTGAGTACCCTCTGGTAAACTAACACAACTATGGAAAATCACCATTTTCAATGGGAAAACTCACTATAAATGGCCATGTTCAATAGCTATGTTAAATTACCAGAGGGTAATCTGTAGGATTGGATGGGTCAACATTTAGGACCCCAAAACCATCCAAAAAACCCCACTGGACCTTACCATTGGCGCCGCCCATATTCGATGGCATCTGCGCCATCACCGCGAGGGAATGGCACAGCTGCGTCTTTCCACAGCGGAACTCTCCGAAGATCTCCTGGAGCCGAAGTGCATATCAGGAGGCACGTCTTGGCATGCACGTGTGTATACAATTGTATACACATGGATTATACGTATGATTGACATGGATGTTTCTATATGTATGGATGCACGCATGTGTATGTGTAACTGTGTCTATGTCACGTTGCTATCCCTCTGCCTCTCTCACACTATCTCTCCTTCTCTCTCCAAATCATAAGATCATCACAAACCCATTGCGTTAGCAGAGTTTTGCAACATCACAAGTCAAACTGTCCATTCTCAGTCTCAAACTCAACCATTTCAGCCTGTCCCCATCAGCGCCATCAGTCACTTCTTGCCAAGTTTCGGTGATAGAACAGCTCTCAACGCCTCCGCCAAGCATCTGATCAAATTTGCCAGCCCCTGTAGCAATCTGAAAGCGGCTCTTCATCTTACCTGGGTACCCCACAGGATCAGGCAACTTGAGAACTTGGCCTCATTTCATGCTGAAACATGAGGATTTCTAGACTTTCGGATCCTATCATTTTGAGCTAAAGCTTCACTGTACAATACTGGTTGGTGGTTTTAACCATCTTGAAAAATATGAAAGCCAATGGGAAGGATCATCCCATATATTCTGGAACATAAAAGTCATGTTTAAAACCATTTGAAACCACCAGCCAGAATATTTGCCAACATCTCAAGACGCCCCTGCTGCGCCCAGCTGCTGACCAGCTGAGTGCAGGTCACAAAACCTACCTCGCTGGACTTTCGGGCGGCTTCGATGATCTTGTCCTCGGCTGACTGAGGCGACTAAGCCTCTGGAAGATGATGGTCCAAAAGAAAATGGGAGTTCCACTGATTTGCTCCAACCATCCAACTAGAGATAAATAGAGTATATATATATGTATATATAGTATATACATATATCAAACTGCATGAACTTTTGACGGTTTTCAGCCGGATGAGCCGTGACTGGCCATCTGAGACCAGCTGCCACCTTCTGGTCGGACAGTCCCTTGATGCTCAGCAGATCTTTGCCTTGAGGCAACCGATGGACCACATCCAACCAACATCATCTACCTTTGTCATCCTTTATCACCATAAAATTGGAACACCCAGCCCCATCAATGAGGAAAATACTGGCAGTCATGGATAGAAAAGTGAAAAAAACAAGCTGAAACCGAGAGGAGACACCATAGAATGGGATATCAATGGATATCATCAAGAAAAATAAGCAACAGTAGTGGAGATCCAATGTGATCCAGTCAACAATACTGGGCTTTAAATGTGGTAAAGCAGGCTTTTTGGAGCTCGAGTGCCATTGAAATCACTGGATTTCTTCCGCCCAAGGGCATGATCCTGTCGCTAATCATGCAGTTCTCACTCCAAGTCACGCATTGCAAAAGCCACGGACTGGCTGGTGTTGAAACCAGCGTCCTGAAATTCTACGAAATGGGTCACGCTTTTCTCCAGCACATCAACAGATTACTTGCATCACTTCTCTATTTGTCGGACATCTCCAAAACAATACAACAATGGGGGGACATGGTTCATCTACCTGCCGACAAAATATGCAAGAGCCATTGGGTCATTCTTGACACTGTGGAACCTCAAACTATCCCAACAAATGCACCATCCATTGGCAGATTTCGTGCCAAAAATATCCAAACATGTACAGGGTAAACACGTCATATGCATGCTTTTTCATATGTTTTCATATTTCTGATGATTGCCCTCCACCATAAGCACTAGGATCTACTGTCTCGCTCTTTGGGATTGAAGGATTTGTATTTGCTTGACTAAACTGGCTCACCTGCTAATACCAAATTGGCATCAAAGGAAACGCAAGACTTTGCTATTGAGGTTGTATGCTGGGTTAATTTATGCACACAAATAATACAACAATGCAATGAAATGCATGTGTATATGTATGATTATATTTAATATATGTGACGTATGTATCTCTCCCGTGGTTGCAGCAACTGCGATCACAATCTCCTTCAGCTTCTTCAGGTCTGCAGCGTTGATGCCACTCTCCTGAAGCTTGTCGATCAAACTGTAGGGCACATCTTCATCCTGCAGTCATGGCAACAGGTTCCATGAATGAGACAGAATGTCTTGGGTTCTTGAAAGTTGTTGAGTTAGAGCAAATGCTGGAAACTGGAAGGTTTCCATCCTCTCAATACTAGAGGTTTTCCATCCTTTCCCATGGTTTTCAGCCTGTCATCAATTTTTCCCTCCAGATCTGCCCTATTTTTTCCCCCTCATCCCATGGCCATCGCCAAATCCAACAAGCTTCATCCGCTTCCACCAGCGCATGGTCTACCATGGCGGGGGCAGTGGCACCAGCCATAGTCGCAACCTTCAGCTTCTTGGTCTGGGAACCTTCAACCGCCATTGCCAAAGACCAGTGGAGCGCGGGAATGTGCAGCTGACAGTTGCTGATCGTAAGGGCCGAAACCGAGGGATGGGATGTGGATCTTGCCTTGATGCTGTGGGCAGATGTGTTGATCTATTCAAACAAATGCTTAAATCTATACACATGCAATGCCAAATGACCAGCCTCTTTTTCAGATGCGTCGATGCATCTTCAAGAAGAAAATGACCACCTTTCCCAACTCACGGCATCCTCTTGGAGCCCAGCATTCACCGACAGACCAAAGTCAGTGCTGCGTGCACCTTGCTCAAAACTCTCTCGACCTCGATGTAGCTGAATCCAAGAGAAAGGCACATTTTGATACATTTTGTGACTTGTGAAGATCGGCTGGAGCTGATTTGCCAAACAATGCATCATCATGCATCACTGCCATCCAGTGGCTCTGGCCTCTCATGCAGCCAGGGCACATAAACAAGCCATCGACGTGGTCAATGAGGGCCTTGGCAACTGCAGTCGCAGTGCCCATGACTTGCCCCAGATTCCCCCAATACAAGCAAGGATTTTGTTGTGGAATCGGTGTGCCGCAACTTTGATCAACATTGGTTCCTACAAAGGGAATATATAAATCTAGAGGATAATAACCAGGATGATTAATCACACCAGGATCATGCTGATTAATCATGCCATATCATAGAGAAATGACCAAAATCCCTGATGTTTTATCCCAGCTACAAGTATCCCCCAAGATCCTGGCAAACGACCCAACACCACCGCTACCTCAAAACATGGATGACCTCAGGGTGTCGTGGAGGGTTTGGGACCGGCTTTCGCCGTTGTGGGCGCCCAAAGAAAGTGATGTCTGCCCTAAACAATCAGGCCAGTGTGACCAAACTTTCCAGGTTATTTACATAAGTCTTGTTGGTGAGTTACATCGGCAGTTGTGCTAAAATTCCACACAGCAACCCCCACAAAATGGGGCCAAGGGCTGCATCTCAGGCAGCCACGATCCAGCTCACCCGGCAGCACTGGAGTCTTCAAAAAGAAGTCCGTGCCCCAAGCCTCCTGCGCTTGGCAGAGAGCCACTGGTTGGTGGTGCTAAGCCACTTCGGCCCAACTGCGAGTTAAGATTTGGTCATCATCCCATTTTTGGGAAACCAACGCAAGTTTCAAACCACCAGCTACAACTCAGACGCCTTAAGTCATCCAAAAACACGACCCGTCCTGCGAGGCTGGCTTAGTGCGCACCTCTGCCTGCCTCAGCAACTGCAAATACCCTCTGGTTATTTAACGTAGCTATTGAAAATGGCAATTTTTAATGGGAAAATCCACTATAAATAGCCATTTTCAATAGCTATGTTAAATTACCAGAGGGTATCACCAAAGTATGGTCAAGATGGTTGGTGACTGGATCTGTCCTGATGATTCTTGGTGATGCCTCCATCAGCTGAGCCTGCTGCCTGTAGCCACCGTTCTTTCGAGCTTTGGGCTCCACCAGGTTGCTGTCCTGGCTGGGCAATGACTTCCAAAGCCTTCCAAAGTAGTCCAAAGAGCAACATGTGCGAATGGTAAAAACATGCAAAAACCCATCCATTTTGGATGATGTTGGGAAATGTTGGCTATTTGTGATGTTCAACTCAAGGTTTGCTCAGACTCTTCTCAGATCATCCGCATGTGGGTGCCTCTGTAATGCAAAACTAAAGTTTAGGGTCATTCTTCAGGATCTCAAACAATCCAGGTTGGGTGTATTTGATGACTTACCATACAGTACTATCCAATAGATTGATCACATATACCGACTAGTTTCTTTCAGTGACAACCTCGTCTGCACTGGCCATGATTACAGTTCCCATATCTCCCCACTCTTTGCCGTGGATGCGCACCAGCCTCCCACCATTCAGGCTTGTAGACTCGCTGAAGAGCCACCTGAGCGGCAAGGCAAGGTGGCTTCCGCCAGAACCACAGGAACATTCGCTGCAATGGGGGTAATTTGGTATATGATGCTTGGATGCGCCTGTGCTAAAACAATTTCAAATGCATGCGTACATACATCTAGTACCGGCATGAATTTGTAATGTTGGGGAATCCAATTGCCAGAAACGGATGTTCCACAACGACCGTGAATCCATTGCAGCAACTTTTTAAACATGCGTTTTTTTTTTTTGTGGCGGTGGGGTCCGAGCCAAACATGTAGTGAGGGGACCTAAACTGGAGGCACCTCCAAATCCTCAAATGGGCCATGGGCGTTGTCAACGTGGAGACCTCAGTCCCTGACGTCCTGTCGGAGGGATTGCTCATCATATTTCACCTCGCGACGGCCAAGGCCTGGAAGGTTAATCTGAAGTCTGTTGTACTCTGTTCATCTGTGCATATATATATATATATCTAATATGTATGCAAACTGGAATGAACTGGATGGATAAGTAGCGAAAAAACTTTTTTTCCCCCCTGTTGAGACCTTTGCAACCCTCTAAGTGTTCCACATGTTGCTCTTCTTCATAGTCAGTGTCGCTCGCCAGAAACTCCCGCAGGATTTGCAAATAGCGTGGCCTTGAAACGAACACAGGTACCCTCACTGGTCGCACCTTGCCAGCTACTGTTCCTCATGGCATGTCATGGAAAACCTTCCGTTCCATGCCAGAGTGACATAGTTCATTTATGTTCATTTTAAGCCTTGTAGTATGTACCTTGATTTGTGGCAGGATGCATGCCCAAGCAAGATTTGGCCAGGGACAAAATTTCGATAAGCTTCCACGCATTCCACCGACACCCTCTCCATCTGCCAATGCACAGGAGGCATTCCTGAGCCCAGCAAGTCGGCAGCGACAACACTGTTTCAGCTTCCAGGTAGCAACGGTATCATCCCTTCCCCCTATTAAACACCCCCTTAGAAACCATGGTTAAGTATGGTTAAGTAGGAAAATTCCACATAGTTGGCATCATTTGGAGGCTGTTTCGTAGGGGGATGGCACATCTCAGCTTGACCATCGCACCAGGAAGTCGCACCAGAGACTGGTGGAGTGGGTCTTCCGTTCCCGAAAGAAATCCAAGAAATCATCCGAGAGGAGGGAGTGGCAAATGCGGTCACCCCACCTTGGATCTTGCAGTCAGTCAGAGGTTTTTGTTGATGTGTTATGTTATGATTGTTATGTGTTCAGCAAAGCCAACAATCATCCAAAATCAATCGATGCCGGCTAGCCGGATGATTTTTTCGGTGTTGAAATTGATACTTTATGATACTTTGCTACTGTCCTATCTGAAGATACCTGCAAAAATGGGAAGCTCCAATACAAATCACATCAGGCTTCCAAGGCCTACTACTGTACCATCTTTTCGAAGTTTGGTGGCATCATGGTACAACTTTCCATTGACACAGTGGATTGATGGCTAGTCTCACCAAAAAAAAGAAACGGACAGCTATTAGCTGAATAACTGCAATCCAGGCTCAGTTCAAAAGTAACAATGCCAAACTCGAAGAATCTGAAAGACTAAGCTGCAAACAAATGCTGGTGGTTGATCCTTAGCTCTATGTGAATCGAACGATGCGCGGAATGCATCAACTGCTTCCAGCTGCACAATACAGCTGGGCGTGGGGCCATTTGGACTCAAACTTGAACTTCGGAGGTCTGGCGGGAAAATCCTGCGACACATTCCAGCCACAACCAAAAACATCGATTGTACAGTCGTCGGCTCTTCTGGTCTCTGAGGATCCCCACTATTCCGAAGTGCAGCCTCATCGGCATCTAACTGTAATGAGATGAAATATGATGAAATTAGGTCACTTTAATCTCCACGTGATATGTAAGCTGGCACTAGCTTGTCCATCGTTGTTCCCGGTATGCGGAGCACATCTTCCCGCCAAAATGGTTTTCAAATCAAGTTTCAAATGCCACAGTCTGGAAATCGAATCTCACCGCAATTACCCAGTAACCGAAATGTCTACCTAAAATGCGTTCACCACGCATAGGATTGTATGCTCTCTGGCCTTTCCATTCCCCCAAGCCAACAACAAATATCGAAAAATATACTGGTTGATTCGTAGGCATTCCCATAGTGAAGTATCATGATCCCCAATATATAATGTTGGTAAAGCAATAGTAACCCCGCCACATTTTTTTCAATACATGGGTGGTATAAAATGGTATAAACCATGAACATATGGATGGTTTCAGTGGTTTACTCTTGCTTTACCAAGCTTTTATTGGTATCACGTAGCATCACCCCTATAAGGCTCAACGAACAGGGCGTTCCGAGGTCCAAGACAGGCTCTAGGCGTCCACACGTGGCGTAAAGCGAAAAGTCGCAGGCCTCCAAAGAACATCCAGGACCTCCTGGTGCTGGTGATGGAACCATCACATTACCGTGGAAAAAATGTGGGTTCTTCGAAACACATCAAGAAAAGAGGAACTATGATGAAAACAAGATAAAAACACACAGTTTTATGGGATGTTGAATGGGATGATCATTTGATCAGTAATGATGGAAAGCAACACCCAATATTTGAAACTTGACACCACCAGCCGCGCCATGGTTCGGAAAGATCGATTCCCCGTGCATCTGACATGAACAGTTGCAATAATTGCCACCAAAAGAAACGGCCCATTGCTGGAGGATTTGGGATTCCTCAGCTTCAACAAATTTCAGTCCTCGAAAGGGAGCAGCCGCTGGAAAATGCAGTGCCAAATGCCAAGTGGTCACCTTTTCACATTTGGGCCATGCGGGATGAGGGAAAACCGCCGTTTTCACACCCCAAAGTTCAGGAGTTTTCGACGCAGGTTCTTGTTAAAAAAGCCTTTCGAACACCTTGGCATTTAAAACGCATCTTTGGGAAACCATGCAAAAGCAGGTTAGTAAACAAATCGCCACCACCTCATCTTCCAAGTAGATGTCCACATTCTCCACCTCGGTGTCAGTGGCTTCTGAACCAAACATGCTTTCGACGTTTTTCGTGGACATTTCATTTTTTTCGATGCATTGTTTTCTAGGCTTTTTCTGGTTCCCAAGTCACTCAGGAAAAACACATGGCCTCCCCAATGATCCGGCGAGGGGCGGGATTCCTGGTGACGTCCGCCAAACACCGCTGCACCAACTTCACCACAGCCCCGTTCTCCATCGGGCTCCAAACATGTCATGAGATGAAGACACTTCTTGTTTTATCTTAATGTTGCGTGCATTATAGTTGCCTGTGACACTCAAGACTTCTCCCAAATTCTATTTTTAACATGCGAAGCCTGAAAAATGAAACCCTGAAAGATGACATTCCCACATTACAATCATTACATATCTGTATAATATAGCATTTTTCGGGCTCCAACTTCAATCTCTAGGTGGCAAAATTTTATGTGGGCTGGAGATTCTAACCGCCTCATGTTCCACTGCAGTGCTTGGAGGGCTCATGTTGTCCATTGTGGCCCAAGCTTGCTGGAACCAAACGGGCCAACACACGAGCCTCATCCTGATCTTGCTGGCTCTTTGTGCATGATCAATATCATGTACATCTCCATGATTGTTGGTCATAATATGTCATAATATGTCATAAGTCATAATCCTTTTCTCGATGGCCATTCCCAGAGTTTCTCCCCAAACTCAAACGAAGTCCATGGGCCAATCCCAAATATCCCCGTCCCGTTATCTCTCTCTTTGCATTTGCATTTTTCTCAGGGTGCTATGGTTCGCCCACTGTTGAAACAAGATTGAAACTGTTGGACACTGGTCCGCACTGTGGATCGTCTGTACATTCCAGGCCGCACAGGCCTGCAGGGCTTGGAAGCCTATAGGTGAACCCAATCTAGTGGAGATGTCCATCAGCATGAATAAACCCTATCATCACTGTGTTTACTGCTTCAACCGCAGTTTTTGTGGTTAAACACCACCATTTCATCCATTTCTGTGGTGTACAAACCATGTTAACTCCATATGGCGTGGCGATGCGTGGCGCGTTTCAACGGCTGCTGCATCTCATCCATAGGCTGGCTTCACCGACACACCCCATGCAGAGCCATGCGCAGCAAAGGTGGTGTCGTCAATGCCATCGCCCCAGGTCAGAGGCAACTCCCACATGGAGTGGAAAATCCACCTGGGACAGCCCCAAAAAATGGTGGTTGTTGAGGCGATTTCATGGAGACAGACTTCCCACAAAACAATAAGAAGAGGTTTGATCTGTAACTTGTGATAGCTGGATTAAGGATCTATAGTTGGAAAATCGATTGAAAACTGAAAACCAGCGGTTTTAACAGAAATGCATGATGACTTACCACAAGGCCAGGCGATATCATAGGATCTCCAGCAAATATCACTCCACATCAAACAAATGGATAGCTAGATGTTAGCAGCATCTCACTCTGTGACATTGCGTATTCTTGGGACGGATCAAACGAGCAAAAAAAACAACAACTCACAATCCTCAAGATCATTCTTAAAATATAAACTTATAAAACCATGTCATTTCAGTGCCTTTGATCCATCTCCTATTGACATCTGCAGTGCGCAGCTCAAGTCCAAGTGGCTCCAAGCGCATCATCAACCGTTCTCGCTGCAGGGCATCCAAAATGCCGCTGGAAAACTCGCGATAGCGGCTCTTGCTGGCGTCCGTACCGGAGACCTGGTGGGGATTGGGGCGAAGCATGGGCAAGCCGCTGCTGGTGCAAATCCGTCCATGGATTTTCCATGAGGGACCCCAAAGTCTTGCACCAAAATTGTCTACTTGGAATATCTTGGAATTGTTTTGATGGAGAAATAGTATGAAATGACTTGGCGGGGAAACTTGGGGCCAATCTCTTGCCGCAGAATTGTTCTCTGCCGAGCGATCCGAGCGTCAAGGAATCGGGCAATGAGAAACTCTCCGGGATCCTTCACATGACCCAAGGTCACGGGCACCAAAGCCCCATCACAGGCCTCAGATTGAAAGCTGTCTGGCCTGGTGCTCCAACTGCCCCAAGAATGAGTGTTCCGTTTGATCATCCGTTTCATCATCTCATGAAATATCGTATGACAAAACATGAACAGCCTGACAAACTGACAGTCCAAAATGACTACAGGATATGGATACCTCTATCTGCCAGGAGCTGAGACACCACATGAAAGCCATTCCTCCCACAGAAATTCATAGTCCAGTACTTATTTCTACATGAAACTTCGGCAACTCTGTTTTTTCCAGGTGTTCAGTGGACTTGTCCCCTCCTACATCCTTCCCTTTCCCTTTCCGACGCCAAAGCGCTGCCAGCTGCAACAAGGGAGTCTCCTCAGCTGAGCAAAGCTAGCTGAAGCAGGCTGAACCCTGTAAATGACATTAAATGACACTATTTTGTCCAAAAGAGGGGATACCCCAAAATCGCAAATTGTTGCACGGGGAAAAATCATGAAAATTATGATAACCCTATGGGATCTTGCGGTATGCCCCATTTTCAGACCAACCCGCATGGTTGACCTGCGTGATAAACATATTGGAGCAAGGTGAATTCCAAAGTTTGCTTCCCCGCTTCACCTGATTCATCTTGGTCCGTCCCAAAACTCACGGCATGTTGGATGAAAGATGAACTGGTTCACTTCAGCATGTCTCATTTATCTTCAAAGTCCCCGGTGGGGGCCGACTGGAAATTGCCAGGAAATACTTATCCTTGACCAACTCATCCCCCGAAACCCTGAAAAAAACATGGAAAACCCAAGATGATTCAAGTCTCCAATAGCAGCTGCATGGGTTCATCGCGTCCAAAGCGCCAATACATGTTGTGAGGGCTCAGTAAATCTGATACCTCCGGCTCTCAGGATTTTCAGGAATAGAGCTTCCCCAATTGGTGAATTGGTGCTTCCAACCTTGCTTGAAATTTGGGAATCTACCACTGGAAATGTTTGAACACTGAAGTGAATTTAGTGAATGGCTGGTGGCTGTGCAGGAAAACATCAACAAAATCATCTTCCACAGTTGCGCACAGATCCAAACATAAATAGCATAGCAAAGCGAGACAATACATCATCTGCCAAAGGAATTCGCAAACGTCTGGGATCATCCAAGCAATACAGACCTCCCTGATCCACGCACTTTCTCTACGCGGAGGCTGCTTCGAGACGGTCTTTGAGCCAACGCATGGATCGACACGCAAAGGGGTACGACACTGAGCCATGGTCGTCACCTGCGCCATGGTCGAAACGTGGTATGGGGCATGGTCATCGTGATGAACATCCGGATGCTGGGCAAATAAATCCTTATTAGTTTATGGATTGATGACTCTTCCTCAATGTGGGGATATCGATATCCATATAATATAGCTTATACATATATACAGATATATATATATTCTGACTTTTGACAATGGCAAATGTGACGAAAGGTTATGCAATTATAAGGTTGAGGAACTATAGCTTGCCAAAGCAAGTGTCTGAACACAAAATTGACCGCACAGTTTTTTGTTTTGTTGTTATAGCCTTGTTGGAATGATACAACAGGCCTACGCACCCATTATAACATATTATAACCATGTTGAGTCACATCCATGAGTTTCATTCCGCATGGCCTTCAACAATCTCAACGGTGATGGACAGCTCCGGATAGGCCCGGGACTCCAGTTGCCGCTGGAAATTCGGCAGAACCTGCAGCTGGCTCTGTTCTTTGGAGCCGCAGCAGGCATAGACGGAGGCCTTCAAGGGATCACGGGTCGAAAAACTCGCCTCCTCCAAACGGAAAAAGGCTCCATCATCCCAGGCCAGCGATGGTGAACCCAGCAAGAAATACCTGAAAAGGCGCAGGAATCAAAACAAAAACTGCCAAAGATCGCAAAGGAGCCAGGCGTAGAAGTTTAAGTCCATAGGTTCCATAGCAAGCAGAGAAAAACAAATGAGGAAGGAGCTAGCCATAGAAGTTTGACATCCATAAAGCTCAGGAATAGCTTTAATAGCTTTTAAACACGGGACATCTAGGTTCACAATATTTTCAGCCTTCCATTATCCCTCCAGAAATATGGGACCTGGTCCACCAAGGAACTGAAAGCAACCTGCGCAGTGCTCTTCAAACATGGCGTGTGCAACACCACTGCCACCGAAGGATTTGCCTGAGCTCTGCAAAGAAAACAGCTGGGGAACAGTCACATATCAAGACATGTTAAGCCCTGAATGTCCGCGGGTTGCTGGAAATTACCAACACGGTTTCCACATTTCAATTCATCAGCTAGGGGCATCTAGGGGCTATCTTCATCGGTCTTCATCAGCCATGCCAACATCTCATAGCCGCATAGCCCTCGATCTCACAGGACGAGACAACTTCAGCACTTTCCAACCCAGTGGCCGATCAAAGCTCTGCTGCCTTTGGTCGCAGAGGTTCGGAAGTTTCTATCCACGTAGGGAACCAGCTCCGATGCCAAAAAACGGCAAAAGGTGGTTGCATGACCCGACACATCCTGCAGGAGCTGATTGGATGATCTGACCCACAAAGCATTGGCACCCTCAAGTATGGCAAAAGTGTAAAACTGCGACCCTTGTCCCTTGACATTCACTGTATAATACATACATTATATATATAATACACACACACACATATATATATATAAAATAAACGTTCATCGTCATCAACTCCGCAATATCATCCAAGGAAACCTTTGCTTCACTTCAGAACCATGAGGAGTCCCAAAATTGCATAGTCGATTTTCCCAAAGGGTTGGGTTTCCTTCAACGGCAGTGCGCCCGGTGCGCCCCAAGGGCTTTCTGCTTGTGTAGGCAGGTAGTCTCTGGCGCGTGTTAGGCGCAAGTCGTCCCACAGCTGCCTGCTGCGGATGATAAGGGATGCGGGATGCCATGGGATTTGGTTTAAACTGATTGAACCAAGAAGATATGACACTTCAATATACTTCAATTATATGCAACCTGACTAGCAAAGGGAACACTATTTGGATTTCCTACACCTCCATTGCAAAGGCCAAACCACCAAAGAAGCCGAAAGTCTTGAGTTGTCAAGTCGTAGCAATGCAGAAACAATTTATTAAACGTATAGAAGAATCAAATAGATAGATAACATTGGATAATCAATAATGATCGCGATTATATATATGCTGTGTATATATATATATATGTATATATTACAGTAATAGTTGTTACATGGGAGGTTGTAGGAAGCTTTGGCCTATGAGTTGCAAACAGGCCTTCCACTTGCCCCTGCCTCACATGGATACCGCCAGTGCTGGAACGACAGTCGTCTTCCAAGTCAGCAGTGATACCAACCTGGGCATGGCCAGGGAGCCCCGATCTTATCTTCGGGGATGGATCAAAACATAAATGGTTTGTCTGAAAATAGGTTGCCTCAAAATCCTATGCTATATCTATCACTACATGAATATTAGATATCCATTGGATATTATATAACACTAATATACCTGCTGTATCATCATTTTCTCGTGATTTTTCATCGGGGGTGTCCAGAACTACCAGCTGGGCTTCACTGCTTCACCTACCGGCGACAAAAACCGGGGTGAACAAACAAGGCACCAAGGTTTTGACCCACAACCATATCAGCTTCAAACTGCTGCCCAAGCCTTGTGGAACTATACAAACCATGTCATCTAAAATTTAAATATCACTTTTGAAGCACTAGTAGACTGCAAACCATTGGCTTCCAGCAGCTCGCAGCTAGCCGCTAACAATCAAAAAGGGCGTCAAAAACAATGCTAGCTTGCTTTGTCATCTTAGTCCAGCACCTAGCAGCAATGATCAAATCCGGAAACCATGTGGTTCTTTTGAAAAAATGCTCCGTCCTTGCCACAGTGGCCAGCAGCGGAAACAAATAGGGTTCCCCATCCAGTGCATAGACCACTGGATATCGCTGATTTGCTGCCTCCGCATGGTGATAACTATGTGGAAGAGAGATGATCAGCTTGTATTTCAAGCCCCCATCCGAAGTGATGCGACGAACCACGCAGGTCTCGTAGACCAGTGGAGCGCTCGACCTGGCCTCCGCGGCTTCCGCCCGGTTCGGCGAAGCGCGAGCCGACTGCGGCTCCTGCCACTTTCGGGAAGCGCGACCCAGGGCAAAGCCCAAGCATAATGCTCCAGCCACAGCCAGAGTCATCAGGTGAACAGTTGCAGCGATGTGTCGAGTTGTGTTTTACTTTACTATTTTTGTTGGTTGTTTTGGAAATTGTGCAGATCCATTGTTTTCTGATTGCTGACAGTTCGGGAAAAGTCCAAGGAGGGATGGTCGCGGTTTGCTGGTTGAATTCTGTTTTAACAAGCTTAACAGCCAATAACGCACAGCTTTTTCTTGAGCCATGCAACAGCGTATTATGAGGATTATGACTATGTACATATACTAGTACTACCTATAAATACCCCCCGCCGCCCGCAACGTAGTGCAGGCAGGAAGACGAGGAGGTAGTACCGGCGGACCTGAGACAAAGACAAGTCAAAAATGCTAACATGTACATAGTATGACTCTAGCTGTCGCAACAAATTATATGAAGTTCAGCACGATGGCAACTTGCAAAAAGGTGCATGGAAAATGAACTATACAATGCACAAAACTGCATAAACGTCAAGACACTCGAATGCAAAATCGGATGCATAAACTTTTGGCGCGGATGCTCTCGGATGCACACAGCATGTCGACATGGCCGGACTCCCGTCACGGCTTTACTGCACGTGAAAACAGAGTCACTCGGACACATCAAGACACGCCTGTACAAAGCAATGCCCTAAAAACAAATGCACATGGCCGGGCTTCCGCCACGGTTAAATTTTCTACTCCTAGCCATGGGGAAGATTGGCAAAAATGTGCTTCAAGGCAAAATTGGAAGACAAGTTTAATGAGATTGAGCTCAACGACGAATGTAATAGATTTGAATTCAACAAAATTAAAGCTGTTGTGTTCATAGCCTTTTACCAATAATCCCGTTCAACTGTGCCATCAGGGAAGGTGATCTCAGTGTACATTGTGCCATCGGCTTCTTCGACAACACGTTCTCTGATCACACCATGGCTTGTGATGGTCTCATGGGTCGTAGCATCAATCACTCTGGTGTTACGCCCAGGGCGGTACTCTTGAGGTGGAGGTCCAGCGGACGAAGATGCACCACCAGAAGGGGGTGGAGATCTCTCACGTTCGCGATCTGCGGCATACCCTCCCGAGTAGCTGCGTCCTTTTCCCTTGCCCTGTCCTTTGGCAGGTCCTTTGACGTAGCTAGTGTCGTGGGTCTTGCCCTTGGGGTCATTCTTCCCTTTTCCCCACCTCCTGTCCTCGTAGCCGTAGTTCCACTGGCGCCAGCTGTCGGCATAACGCCATTGGTCGGCATACCACCCAGACCTGCGGTGGCCGCCACTTTCATCCCGGGCATATCCCCATTCACCTCTTCGAACACGGCGCGTGTAGTGCGCGTCCATGCCGCGGTAAGGACAGTCCCTCTGCCAGTGGTCTTGGGCCCCACACCGATAGCAGCCTTCCTGGGGCTCATCGTATGAGGACATTCTCCAAGTTGTGGCCTCGGGACGGTACCGCTCCGTGATCCTCGGGTCGAAGTTACGGCGTGGGTTGTCAATCAACCCTTCCGTCTTCTTTGGGCCCATGGCTGCAGGGAATGTCACGGTGCTCGCCTCTGCAATAGGCTCATCAGTGTGAACATTCCAATCCAAGGCACCATGATTATCGGTCCAATTTTGGATCGCGAAGCTGACCAAATCGTCATAGTTTTCCTTGAGCGGCTGTTCATCGAGGATCAGGATGCTGCCAGAGAATCCATAGATAGTCGGCGCGGGTTCCCCTCGCGCTGGAGCCAGT